CTCTCAGACATGGTGATATTCTTCATTTCCCCTCCTGTAAAATGAGGGTTATCTTTCCAGCCACACCCATAACAAGAACCAAAAGAAAAGTAGAAACTAAGGTTCAGGGAAGTTAGTTAAGGTGCCCACGTTTACAGTCAGCCAAGTGATAGAGGCAAGGCCTGAAGTGGGTCCTTTTCTACATCATCTGTTCAAGCCCAGAACCTACCGGGGAGTGACTGAAAGTATGGCCTTGGAAATCCTATGTCATTCACTGGTTTGTGACTGTGGCAAGTTATTAGCATCTCTGAGCTTTAGTTTCCTCTTCTAGAAAATATAGAAAATAGTACCTATTTCACAGAATCGATGTGAGTGTTCAGAGAGATGATATACACAATGGCCCTGGATCACTACTAGGCACATAATGAAAATTCAGAACACTAAATACTAAGATGTGAATACTGTAGCACAAAGCGGAAGATCGGGAACTCAAAAGAGGAAAACAACTGTAAAGGACCAGTTCTAGAGCCTGAGAGTGTGGGTTTGGGTGGATCACAGTCCCACCATTCACCATGCGACACTGGCCGAGTTATTCCAGTGCACTGAGTCTCCACGTCCTCACCTGTGGGGATAATCACTCACTGGGCTGTCGGGAGAAAGCTGTGAGGAAGCACAAGCAAAGGGCCTAGAACAGAGAGGGGCATGTGGACAGCACACAACCAAAGCTAACTGCTCTTAGTATTATTGATAAAAGGTGAATCTGCTATTTTTACTTCTCTGTGCCACACTGCCTTTTGTGGTGGTAAAAATGATTTAAAAACAAAGGAAATGCTATAAAATAAAGCCTCATTATCAAGGCTGTACAAGCTTCATGGTTTGACTTCTAACTAATCTTTCCCTCATAGCATGTTGTTTCTGCCCCATTTTGTTACGAAAATTAACTTTCTTCAGAAAAGAAAAGGCAGAGTATTCAGATGGAGACGAAGAAGGACAGCAAGCCCTTCACAGGAGGAACGGGTGACTGAAGCAAGCCACTCATCACTGGCGGCAGCCTCTCCAAACGGGCGTCCTTCGGAGATGAAAATAGACATCTTCTCTAGGAAGAGATGGCCCAGCTCATGAGGGTCCTCCCAGGATTCCTACCCCGGGCCAGGGCAGCCAGTAATGCCCCCGGGGGAGGAGACAGCCCGAAGGTCGGGCCCCAGGCCGCGCAGCCCCGCTGGTAAGTGCTGACTCCAATTTCTCCATCTTCATATGAAAGTAACTGCAAATGTCTCTCAGTGAAAGGTCACTGGTTGCTCAGCTTCCCAAGAAACTTTCCAACTAAGAAACTGAATGTCACATGGATCTGTCAGGGTTCCATCCAGACATGGCAGCCATGAGCAGATACCAGGGCAACAACAATTCTTTCCTGCCCTCTGTTCCCCCTCCACCCCTCCGCTCTTGCCGGTGAGGGGTGAAGTTCTTATCTGGAACTTGATAGGATGTAGAAAATAATTACAAATGAAAAGGTTATTCATAATTTTTAAATGAGTTAATTAGTAAACCCAGTCAGACTTACTCATTACAGTAATTAATAATAGATTATACTTGAAATTAAACACAATTTTTCATCAAAAATCTAATTAAGTATCTGTGTATTTGCCTGTTGATTAGATCAGTTGGTCTGCTGGAAAAGAGTCTTTGTTAAGAATATTTGTGCTCAGCTGAGACAATTAATTTGATTTTTAATAATTGATAGTTCCTTACACGTTAGTCATCATAGCCTATGATTATGTCCAAGCAGCAAGACACTCACCCCTTGCCAAGCACGGAGGTTGCCACCCCAGCCCTTGGGGAAATGTAGGGGCGGGCCTCGCACCAGCAGTGCAGTCACCTGCATTAGCTTACCCAGCCTCACGTCCTTCAGAGGGAAGGGGCTGTGCCTGTTTTCTAGATTAGGAAATAAAGGCTCAGAAAGAGAAGTAAGTTGCCCAAGGGCAAAGAGTGGCTAGGGAGCAGAGCTGGGAATGGAAGCCAGGGCTCTCAGCTCCTAGGTCTAAGCTCTGAGTTTCCAGGTAACAAAGGTAACACCTCAGGTGTACCTGTCTGACATGGTCTTGGGTATGAAATCTAGTCCACTCTTAACGTTTCTATATAGAAAATGTTTTATCAGGCATTATTTATTCTTGGCAAGGACATATTATCAATGGACTAACCATTCCTAACCTGAGATACAAATTCTCCTAAAGTGACCTCAGATCTACTCTTTCATCTACATTGTCACTTAGTTAAAACTCTCAGCTTGTTCTGACTTGTTTATTGCAATAGGGCGTGTTTTTTCTTACTCTACCGTTACTTCCTAAAACAAAAATCTGACTGTGTCCTGTCACTGCTTAAAAGCCTTCGATGGCTCCCTGTTGCCCATCCAATAATGTCCTTAACTTGGCCTTCAAGGTGATCTTCATAATCTGACCAAACTCTCTTGCATTAGCTCCAATACCCCTCAAGTGCTTCAAACACAGAAAATGACTTTGTCGTCACATTGTCCTCTTCCAAGTCTGAAACCTCCCTTGGAATGAAATATCCTCTTCGCATGTCTACTTCTGGTAAACTCTGACTTTAAGATTCAGCTAAAATGTGACCTTTCTGAGGAAGCCTCTTCCAGTTGTGGTTGGGGCTGGGTATTGCCACGGTCCTGAGCTGCCTCCGTCACTGCCATCTCTTCTTCTCATCTATGAACACCTCAGGGGCAGGGACTATCTTTAGCCCTGGCACTTAGTATTGCACCTGGCTCAAAGCAGGCACCCCATATGGTTTGCTGAATGAAAAACTGAATTCACAAAATCATAGATTCTAAGACTATTCATGTTGGAGGGTGAAAAACCCATCAGAGCTTGAATCCTACCCTTGCTTTGCAGTCATCAAGCTCTCCTGAACAGGGAGCTCACTACCTCCCACATTAGCCCCTCTTTAGATAGCTGAAGACTAACGATGTATTCTTACAAATGAAAGGGAGAAGATGATGGGATGGAAAACAGAAGAGCTTATTTAATCATATAAAGATTTATTCTTTCTTCCTTCACTGAGCTACATAGTATAAACCTTAAGACTTTAATGCAAAACAGTATGATGTCTATATGCAGCAAACCACTTGACTCTTGTCACTTGACTCAGTGACAGTGCTTATTCAAAGGTCTAGTCATTTAGAAGATATAATGTCAGTCAAAAGCAAGAGCTATGCTAGTGGTTGGTGCAGACACCGTACTGGTGGTACTGAGAAACTTTCTCACTGGAGGGTATTGCATGGAATCTCACAACCTTCACCTATAACCTGATCTACATCAATAATGTACTTCAGAGAGCCAGGCTAAGTACTGGCCCCTCCCAGTTTGGCTGTTCCTTTTACCTAGTGACCCACAGCAGGGATGGCAAATACCTGCTGTTATCAATCTTCTCTACTCCTGTGACTATGACAGACATCACTCATCAATCACAGTGCCTCTTCTGCATTGAGTCTGAATATAGCCAGGATCCTTCTCCAAATAGCTTTCTAGGCAGCAATGGCTAACCGATCAGACAGCAGAAGAAATGAAGTATGTATGCCAACCTGGCCATGGAGCCATGAGACTCCCTGAGTCGATCTTTACAAGGGGTAAAGAGAACTGGCATACCAAAGAAGGCTTATTATAGCTTGAGATTTTTAAGGAGACCTCTTTATTTGTAGGACTATCATCTTCCTGATTACCTGTTTTCATAAAATTCAAGTATCTTTAGAGGGAAGTGGCTTTACAATTTACATCATCCAAACCCTCATTGATGCTTGAATCCCTCTTCACATCCTGAACAAGTTGTGGTCCATGTGCTATTAATCATTCCCAGTGACAGCACTTACTGCCTCTCCAGAAAGGCGTTTCTTCGTCCACAATGACTCTGCTTGTTACAGAGTCATTTTTCATAATGGGTGGCATTCTGTCTTCTGCTGGCCTCTGCTAATTAGTTCTTTTCCTATTTCTTGGGCTTATACTGAGAAAGTCTCCTTTGCTTACAGAATTAGCTCATAATTCTTTAGCATGGGTTCAAGACCTTCTCAAGCTGGCCTGACCTACCTTAAATCTTAGACTTACAGAATTTGAAGGCTGGAAAGGACACAGGGTTAAGCCACCCCTGTTGGATGCCTTTCCTAACAGGCTGATTTACACAGAGGCAGCAGACTCTACACAACAACCACAGGCCTTTTCAGATTAACATCTTCCGTGGGAGCAACCAAAGACAGGGGTCTGAAACAGAAAACCAGACTGTGTTGGAAATACACCAAGAGAGAGCTCAGTGGGAGGCATTCAGGGGTAGCAAGACAGTGGCCAGGGGGGTTTCTCACGTCATGGAGGTTCCCTGGGCTCTGGCAGAAAGGCCGGTCAGTGCTGTTCAGGGTCTCTGTGTGTCCCTCTGCCAGCTTTAATTGCTCACTCCGACCTATCACTCTTCATTTGGGATTTCCCTGGCTTCCTGACCATGGTTCCTTCCAGACCGCGGCTCCCACAGCCCCCTCAGTCCGCTTTGCCAGCCCTCACCTTCAGACAAGTGCTCCTTGCTTGAGGTCAGCACAGTCCAGTCTTTGGCAGTTTCACTCTAACCTCAGGACACCCCATCTCCTTTACTCCTCACTGCGGTTATGTGGTGCCGACAGGAGAGGCCAGCCTGCTGCCCAGCCTCTCCAACTGGTGATTTCATTTGTGGTGACTGAAATCTATGACATGTCTCAGATCATCACCTCAAATGCCAGCCTATTGCTAGGCATCCAATACATGGAAGAGCAGATGCTAAGTTTCCGTCCTGGAATACGTGCAGGGAAGTGGAGAAGAGGGCCCTGAAGGGCTGGCCTTGGCTGTTTGGGGGATGCAGGTCAGTCCAGGGCTGCTTGACCACCCCTGCATGCTTTGACTGCCATGCTGGCAAGGTACCTTCAGTACCCAAGGCGTCTTGCTCACTGCCCTCTGGGCCAAAGGGGAGCCAAGGGAAGCTCGGGTGAGGGCGGTACTTACCCACAAAGTATGCCAGCAGGATGACCAATGTGGCTGAGATGACAATGGCACTCAGGGCTGTGCACTTCCAGTTACAGTACTTGGAGGGCTTCTTGAGGTTGAAGGCTGGCCGGGTGAAGGTGCTGCGGGGCAGGGGCCGCGGTGGAGGTGAGTACACTGTGCTGGATGTCAGAGGATACCCTGGGGATGTGGTGCAGAAGAGCGGGGAGGTGCCTCCTGGCTTGAAGAGGAAGTGCCTGGGGAGGGAGAGAAGTCAGAGGGTGTCGGGGCTGCCAGCTCACCCAGAGCCCAGGTCAGCCTGCAGGGCAGAGGCAGCAGTGGGAACATGCAGAGGAGCCTGGAGAGAGAACCGCCACAGAGAAGGAAGGAAGACCACGAACCAGGCCACAGAACAGGGCACACGCAGACACGTTTCCACAGAACATGGATGGGCAGCCCGACCCACGGGTAAATCCAGCCAGGCCAGGGCAGGAGGCTGGGTGTTGAGCTCCTTTTCCTGGGAAGGGCTGGGGCTGGGATGCTGCTTCTTGGGGAATAAACTAGCTGCTCTCTAAAATCATTGCAGTAACTTGGAAAATGTCTAACATCCTGTTCTGTCCCTGGAGACAATGGAACCTAATTCTTCTTCTCATCTAGTACCTATTTTGCTGGTATATCTTGGTGAAGGAATGGAATACCATTCTTTTTAAAGGGGGTGTTGGCAGGGTGGGAACCAAGAAACCACCACCACATGCTGACATGGTCAAGAGTCCCCTAGCGGCTGTTACATAGCCAATGGCAGCAACTACCTTTAAAGCACTCTGCTCAGAAGCCAGACCACTGCCTTCCAAGCCCCTGCTAAAAGCTGGGTGGGTGGACAGACGGGCAGCTGCCTCTTACAGCCTAGCTACAGTCTTGAGGGCAGTGTGGCATGGGCAGAGCACATGGTTGTGACCAAAGTAGGTCTCAGGAAACCTCCACTTGGCTTTAACCATGGCTATGGGAGCACTTGTACGCAGCCTGGGAAATGAGGTGCACCAGCCGCACTGCATCCTCCCGAGGTCTTAGGGTGAAGGGTTAGTCTTAGGGTAACCTTGCATCTTGCTAGGGTGCAAGCTGCCTCAGGCCACAGAACACATACTCAAGGTCAGAATACATACAATGCAGGGTCTATGCTGCATAAAAATTGCTACATGAGATGGATTTCAGAATGGCAGATGCAGCCAATGAGATGCCGGGAGCCGCATATTAACAAGACTGCTGTTAATATGCTGGGCCACAGGGAATTCCAAGGATAAACTCTTGCATATTGAACATGGACTTGGGGATGGGCATGCAACACGGTATCATAACCTTCCCCAGGATATCCCAGAGAAAGGTCGCAGGGTCTGCATGCAAACTCAGAAGGCTTGGGGAGGGCACACACAGAGAGGAGGATGTGGGGATGTCACCTACCCGTCACTGTAAGCCCCATCATGGCGGGAGGCGCTGAGAATGTCCATCTCAATGAGGTTGTCCTGCAATGTCCCTAGGAATGGCTGCTTGCCTAGGTTTCTACACACACATGGAGACATGAATGAAGCAATGAGTCATGCATCGATGAAGGGGGATAGTAGAGAAACACAGAAAGTGGCTGTTGGGTGCAGCTGTGCATGATACCAGCGGGACAGTTTCCAGGCGATGGGTCTGTGTGCAAGCCACCTGTGCAAGGGGTCTGGCTGGCACAGCGTCCAGAGGGAGCATTCTCTATGAAAACCTGAATGCCTGGCGGTTGTGTACATCAAATCACAGCTATCACTAACAAGGACGAATTATGTCTCACACACTGAGCGAGGCATGTTACATCTGCTTATCTCAAATCTTCAAAATTTGAAGGCACTACTACCCCATTTCGCAGATGAGGCAACAGATGTAGAGAGGTAACAGGACTTGCCACGGTTACTAGCTAGCAGGGTTCAAGGCAGGAATTTGAGCTCAGATTTACAAAAATCTGTGTTTTCTCTTCTCCTTGATACTACCTACATCTGCTTAAATAATAGCTAAAGATACTTATTTCGCTAGTCCAAAGTAAAATGAAAGACAAGTATTTTGGGCCCTTTTCTTTCAAAGCAGTGGTTCTCAAACTTAAGGAAGCATCAGAATCATCTGGGGAACAGGATGTGGCTGAGCCCCGGAGATGTGGAGTCAGTAGGTGGTTGGGGTCCTGAGAACCCACCTCTCTTCCAGCCCCCTAGGTTGATGCTAATGATATTTGGAGTGTCACAGTCTGTTAGCAGTGCAGAGATCTGGGTGATGAGTGATTGGTGAGCATGGCGCCCCACGGAAGACAGAGGGGTGGCTCCTTTGTCCCCCGCCAAGTGCACTCAGAGCAGGGCAGCATTTTGTGACTTTACCGATTTCTAACCCAGAATGAAGACAGACACACTCGCCCTTTTTGTTCTCAACCGCACCTGCTGAGTGGCATTATTCACACTCGAGTGCACTAGATGCTATTTTCTGATGTTTTCAAGGACTGCTCCCACCTCACTTGAAAATCCTGTAGTGAGTCGTTTTCAAAAAGCCAGTGGCTTCACCTCTTGTGTGCACCCGAGGAAAAGATGACCTGGAGAGAGCTAATTCTTGGCTCCAACCCTTCCAGGGACCTTCCTTCTGACTTTGATCAGGTCTTGAGAACTAGAAAACCCAAATTCAAGTCCCTCTTCTGCCTCTTCCTTCCTGTGTGACATTGTGCAACAACTTTAAGCTCTTCTAATCTTCTACAGTTGGCTCTTGAATCACATGTGGTTTAGGGGTGCTGACCGGCCCCACAGTTGAAATTCTGTGTATAACTTTTGACTCCCCAAAAACTTAGCTACTAATAGGTACTGTTGACCAGAAGCCTTACCGATAACATAGCCTCATTAAGACACAGTTAACAGATATTTTATATATGTTATATGTATAACACACTCTATCCTTAAAGTAAGCTTGAGAAAAGAAGATATTAAGAAAAATCACAAGGAAAAGAAAATATATTAACAGTATTGTACCATACTTATTGAAAAGAATCTGCATATAAGTGGATTCACACAGTTCAAACCAGTGTTGTTCATGGGTCAACTGTACTTTCATCATCTGTAAAATAGGGATAACAATACTAGCTCATAGGTTTCTATAAGACCAGCTGAGTAATGCCGGAGACATTTTAAGGGCTGAACGAGTATTACAGAATTACTAATGTTAAGTATGATAACTGCTGTTTACCCTACAACAACCATGTATTATTCACTATTCTGGAGTCTGCAGCTATTACCTAGCAAGAATCTTCTTCACAACAACCCCAGGGAGGCAGTACTGTCACCTTCGTTTGGTACGCTGGCACAGCAAGGCTCAAAGGTGCAACTGTTCTAAGGCCCTATCACGCAGGAAGCAAACAGCAGAGCCAGAGTGGAACCTGGGTGTGTCTTACCCTGGAGCTCAGGCCTCCCTGCTTCCTGGCACCATGTCACTGCCCCCCACCTGTGGCTTGGCCCCTGGCCGCCTCACAGACCAAAATGAAGAGGGATTGTAAGTACTACCTCAAAGCGCCATTTCATTCACATTCCCAGGGCCAGTGAGACACCAGGCAAGATGGTTTTGCAGCGGGGGTACTGTCAGGCGGTCGTGACCTGCCCTCCGAGAGGCCTTGCAGTCTGGGCTGCAGGCCGTCCTGGTGGTGTTCACAGTCCCCGGGGCCTCCTACGTTGCCTGGAAGGAACCGGAAGGAACCGCAAGGGTGTGAAGTCCCAGAGAGCGGTCTCATTTCTGCCCCAGGCAAGTGGCTCCTGCCGGGAAGCCTGGTGTTGTAGTGGGAGGCACACAGGTCCTGGGGTCAGACAGGTCCCAGCTCCATCACTGACCTGCCCCCAGGCAGGTGAGTGTCTCTCTGAGAATTCATAAACTGGGATAGTCACTCACCTTTTAAAATCCAGAGTATAATTTGGATCATGTCGCTTCTCTGCTCTCAATCCTCCAATGGCTTCATAAGAATAAAACTATAGTCTTTAGCTGAGCCCACAAGATCTTGCAAGATCTGGCCCCTGCTACCTCTCCAGCCTCTTTCTCTGTGCTCCATACACACTAGCATCCTTGCTGTTTCTCCAACCAGCAAAGCATTTGCTATCATTTGCCCGAAATGCTTTCCCCCAAATTTCTGCATGGACCCTTCCCTCTTTTCCTTCCCTAACTATAATAGCTCCCCTCCGACTCTTCTTAATCACCCTCTGGCCGTACAACTAGACACACACACACATGAAATCTGCTTATTGTGTTTTATCTTCATGTAAATTAAGTTCTATGAAGGTAGGAATCTTACCTGTCTTGTTTTCTGTACATGTACCCAGAACCTGGAGGAGTGCTGCACTCAATAAATATCTGCTGAATACTGTGAATGGTGGGCTATGCAAGGGAACACACCTGGGATACAGCAGGCATGCAGCTGGTGTTTAATTGAGGGTGGCAAAGGTAGTGCTTTGTTATTATTTCCTCCATTCCCTGCATTTCAGGGAGGAATTTCCAGGCTTTCTAGAGTCTGTGTGGCCCATCTTGAGCATCCCCGAACTGGTGAGCTCTTGCGCCTCCCTGGGGCCCGGGGCTGGCTGTGCCGCGTGCTCCCGAAAACACTGGGCGTGTGGCCCGCATCACTAGGCTAGGACTGTGCTCTCAGCGAGTCAACTCTATACTTAAAACCCACCAGAAGCAAATATATGTTCAGAGAAAAAAAAAAGACAAAGGATAAAGATCAAAATGTTAATAGTGGGGATTTTCCAGTGTCTGGAATCAGGAGTGATTTTAATTTTTACTTTTGTAACTTACAGAGAAACAATTTTTTAGAGAGAGAAGACAATTATCCCCCTAAAGCACAGATCTATCAGGACAAGGGAAGAGGCAACACAACAGAACAAAGGGTTTCTGGAGTTTAAGATTTCCTGAAAGGGCTCCACACTCACCCTAACTTGGATATTAATCATTTAGATCACTCGGCAATCTGGGGGGACACTAGCACTTGGTGAAAATGCTGCCTATTCAGCACGCTGCTTACTGCCTTGAAATAACCTTATTCTGTACTTTTAAAACAGTTCTGGGCCCAATCATTTGGCCTCATCTGAGTGATGAGGAAGTTGAGGCTCAGAGCGACATGTCCAGCTCCCATATGCCCAGCACATCAGTGGCAGAGGTATCTTCCAGTCCATGGGACGACAATACTACCTACCTATGCCGAAAAGAGTTAAGACGGCAG